AGGTGCCGCCCCAAGCATGTGCTTGGTTGCCTGGTGCCTGGAGCCGGGTAAAAGTTCCCTAGGTGCTTAAATGTCTGCCTCTGAACAAGCACACTGCTCTCTCCAGAGGCCTATCTCATACCTAAGTCCCAGCACAATCCACAAAGTTGGGGGGTAGATAGGCATTGCAACACCTGTCTTTCCCCACGGGGCCTAAGCCACTTGCTGTGCTCCATGCATATCTAACTCCACACAAAATGGCCAGCAGTGGGCTGGAGGGCCTCCCTTATAACCTTTAGCCCAATGGTTAGGGTACTCACCTACAGAGACCCTAGTTAAATTCCCTTCTCTGCTTGATGTAAAGAAGGGATTTGAGTAGGTGTGGCCCACATCTCAGGTGAATGCTCTAGCCACTGGACTACAGGATATTCTAATGTTGGTCTCTCTCTCTTGTTGGAGCCATTTGACTTTAATTTAATTAAATATTAATTGGGCCAGGATGAGTAAAAATCACTGTACAGTCCAGTGGTTAGGGTATTCACCTGATAGGTGGGAAACAAACCCCTGTTCAAATCCCTTCTCCATATTAGGAAGAGCCGATATTGAACTAGGGTCTCACATCCTGGATGAGTACCCAAACCACTGGGCTAAAGTTTAGAAGGGAGGTCCTCTCCTCCTCATGGCCATTTTGTGAGGTGTTAAACAGGTGCCTAACCCATTCTTTCAAGAAATAGCTTAGGAGAAGGCTTCCAAACTGTGGATCACAAGCAGAGATAGGAGCCTCCCTGTTGCCTAGACTTAGGTACCAAATTCCCTAAGGGGGTGGGGCTTACAATGCTTATCAGTATCTCTCAGTGGCTAGTTTAGGCAGCTCCTCAGTTGCTGTGCTGGTTTTGTGAATCCCATTCTTAGGTGCCTCTCCCCATGATTGAATAGCCTGTCTAACTCAGGCTTTGTGGATACCAATGTTATTCCAATGATTCTTTAGGTGCCTACAAGTTAGATGGTGAGGTGCTGAGCATTGCAATGCCTAAGTGGATTTGGATGTCTGCATATACCACACTATCCTGACATGTGAAAACTCACAGGTGCATACTAGTACTGTGTGGTGATTGTATAGGACTTGATCCACAATCCACTGAAATCAATGGAAAACCTCCCATAAACAATGCAACCAACTACAAGAGGTCAGAAAATCATGATGGAGCAAACATAACATGCTTGTCTATTTTTGAACTTGGTGGTGAAATGCAGCCCCCTTCTCTCTCTACCCAAATTGTGTGTGCATCATGTTGAAAATTCAATCTGAAATTATACACAAAAATGGGGGAGTAAGTTCCACACTCCCTTCCTTTCTGCTGCTGTGAGAGGCACTTCCTTTCTTTCCTGAACCCCACCTGTCCTCAATGAGGAGGAAAGAGTTCTTTCTCTCCTTCTCCCTTTTGTCACTCTACCACCTTCTTCTGTAGTACCTCTGCCCCCTGTAATCACTATCTCCTGTTCTCTCCATGGTTGATTTACTCCTTGTCACCCTATTCCCTCATTACTCCTCTTTTTTGCCACTGTCCTGCTTTGTGGCATCTTCAGCCTGAAGCAGGGAATAAATGTCCTTGGAAGTGTGTTGCACTGCCTTATCCTTACTCCCCAGAGTGACTCCAGATGGCAAGTCATCTTCTGCCCCTATATAGGAGACTGGCAGTAGTGCTTTTCCCTTGCTCTGTCCCCCCTTCCTGTGCCCTGTGAGTGGGGCAGGTGGTAATCTTCCACTCCTCATAAAGTGTGAGCTCTTTGGCTCTGCTGAACGACAGCATATCATCCCTCCTAGCAGCAGCAGACTTGGAAAAGCTATGATTTTGGCTTAAGTGAATCATGAGCAGCAAGGGAAAACTGTCCAAAATCACATCACTGCAAGTAATTTGTGAGAGTTGGCTTGGCAAGGCTGCACTTTCTGTCAGCGAAATGAAATTTGGTGTCTGAAATGGGACAACTCAGTGTAAAATGAGAAAAGGCAATGGAGTGGCAGGAGGGAGTGAGCTTATCAGGTATGGGTTTAGTTAAACAAAAAAGAATTCAAGATGCATAGCAAATCTAAATGCATTATTTCTGCATCTCTACAGTTAGAATTGCTGTTTTGTGAGCTTTCTGTTTAATCTTAATTTTTTGTATTTAGCTGTGAACTGTGTTTTTCTGGCAACTAACAGTTTTGGGTGGTGGTTTGTAGATCCATGTAAACAGACTGAGAATAGGCACGTGGAGCAGAGCCTCCAACCCTGGGCTGCTGCCACCTGCAGGTCTTCCCCAGCTGGACAAGAGAAGCGGCTCTAAGCAAAGCTAGCTTCAGGAGGCTTTCTAGCCTGCCACACCTCCCCTGTGGGTAGGGATGCTGGAAGAATTTGTATAGCGTGGTGCTGAGAACCATTGAACCAAACTGTAAACCATGTATGTAATGGAAACCACTTCAAGCCAGGGTGTGCAGCAACACCTCCAGCACATATACCTGTGGAAGGCAGTGCAGGACAGTAGGTGAGCTGGAGTGGTGATGGTTGGTGGAGCCTTTATTAAACCGTGTGCCACTACACTAAATCCTGGTGGTGGTGCTGGCAGGGTCAGTAAATACCCTGCCAGCACCACCCATGCACGCAGCGGCCCAAATGTGGGGTGCTCCTTGTGACTTAAAAATGCAGGACCCATTAAAGTGCTGCGGTGCGGGCTTTCCTCATGCAGTGCCCGCTCAGGTGCATGAGTATTTCTCTTGTAAAATTTCAGCAATAGCAGTGCAGTGGAGCCACATTTGGGTATTTACTAACTCTGTGACCCTCCCCACAAATAACGGGCAGGTGCGAGGGGGCTCCTGTAATTCCCCCCCCCCCAACTATTGCAGGAGCCCCCACCGGCAGGTGCCGGCCACGCAAGAGCTATGGGGCGGGCAGTACTGCTGAGGCGAAGGGGCTGCCGCCTGTGAACTGCCGCTGCGTGCATGGGGGGAGCCAGCCCCACCTGCCACTGGGGTGCACGGGCAGGTTGCTGCTACCCCTGCGATCACGCTATAGGTGGCGGGACTGAGTTCCCTGGCTGTTGCCGATAGTTGGGGGGGAGCGACGCACACTGCAGGACAAAGCCCCAGGCGGGGGGGGTGGGTGATGAGGTGGTGGAAGGAGACGAAATACGCAACTCATCTCCCTCCGCCGCGAACTATTTCTTTTCCCAGATGTCATGCAGCATCTGTCCCACCACGCCCCCTCCCCAACCGTCGCCGCACGCGCGAGGGGCGGGACTGGTGCCGAGAGGCGGGGGGAAGAGGCGGGGCCGAGAGGGGAAGGGGGTGTGGCCCCGAGCGCAGGGGCTGGGACGGGTCAGGGAGGAGCTGAGCGGACCAGAAGGGCTGAGACAGTCACGGACCTCGGGGCTCGGCTGCGAGAGCAAGGCGGGGGACGGGGCAGAGACGCGCCGTGCGGGAGCAGCCGCCGGCGGGGAGCGGAGGTGGCCGGGGAAGGTAACCGAGCAGCTGCGGAGGCCCCTTCCTCAGTAGCCGGGCTGGGGGAGCCGGGCGGCGGCTGCTCCTGCTGCTGCAGTCGGCGCCGCTGCTTCCGTCCGAGCCTGCGACAGAGCGAGCGGGGGCTGGGGCTGGGGCTGCAGCTCGAGCCGGGCGGCTGCCCCCCGCCCCGCCGGGATAGGCAGGGCGACAGTGACGGGGGAGGGAGGAGGCGTTGAGCGGCGTTCGGGGCTGAGGGCGAAACCCAGCGTGTGCCGGCGGGGTGTGAGCCCGGGATAGGGGCTGGCCGGGGAGGTTCAGAGGGCCCAGGGGCTCGGAAAAGCCGAACACACCCGGGAAGGAGGAGGGGCGCGGGGCTGCTGCTGGCTGGGATCTTTGTGCCGGGCGCTGTGTGCTCTGCTGCGTGGGGCCGGGGGGAGGGACAGGGCGTGTGTCTCTACTGTGGTGTGTATGAGAAGCAGATGGGGAAGAGCTCACAGCTGCTCATTTCGACAGTCCTGGTGTAAAAATGTAGCTCGACCAGCAGGACCTGGTGAAGTGACTTTTCAGCCCTGCCTCTGTATCAGCTGAAATGTAAAGTCCGGCACTGGGGACCTAAAGCAAAGAACCAGAAAAAGAAAGAAGACTGAACCCAGCCAGGGGGAATAGTACAGATAACAGAAAGGTGCTCCACAAGAATAAACCATAGGATGTTAGTGGTGGATGTATTAAAATGGGACTCCAGGAGGCTGCTGTGTGCCCTAATGCATACAAATCATGAACAAAGAAGTGTGTAAAGAGCTGTGGACAGCACTGGTGTGTAAAAATGCACCTGGCAGTAGAAAAAGGAAGTAAAAGGATAATCAAATGAACAAATGTTGGTAAGGAAGGATGTTCAGGATAATAGGGTGCATGTGTCTCCTTCTTAGGATCAGTGGGAGGCTTACTTTCCTCGGTGTGGTTTTGAGGTCACTTTAAAACCAATCAAAGAATGTGAATGTGACTGATTGCAGCTCATACCCATAGCAGAAATACGAGAACCTTAACTAAAATTATTTCTCCTCTGCAAGTTTGAGACTAACTTTAAGACTTTCAGAAATTGGTACAAATGAGGAATATGAATTCTTGGTTTTAGCAGATGTATAGTAAATCGTGATGTGATATCTTGCACCTGGAGTTAAATCATTGTCTTGTTCTTTATTTCATAGGTCTAGAGAAGAACTTTGTTTTGAGATCTCTGAGAAAGAGTTGAGGAAGATTTCAGGATCTGGAAGAAAGCACTTGTCCTACATTAAGGAGGTGTTAACATTTTCCCATCAGCTCTGCTACATAAGAGACCATAATTTGAAGCACTTCCCTGGTGCTTGCCCAGATGTATGAAGCCTGCAATGTTTAGTATTTATACAGACCACTTCACAAGTGGTACAGATCTACGTGTTTGCAATATAAATTTTAGCGTTTGAAGAAAAACCCCTCAGAAGCTATATTTTACTGTGGACAGCTTTTTCTCGATGTGAATCCAAAGAGATTGATGTTTGGAATTGAGAAGCATCTAGTACGTACTTGGAAAAAAAAAATTTGTTTCTCCAGATGCATCGTCTCCTCTGTACTCTGGGAACATGCACAGCTGTTTAAACTACAGGTGTAGTCAAGGAATTGTTACCTTTTGAGCCATATGAGAAGTATTATTGAGCCTTTGGTACCAGGCATCGCTTTGTCACGTAAGCAGTTGAACACGCTACACTCTAATCATGATAAAGCATCTGAAAGAATGAGTCTGATTGTCTTATAAAGAGGCTATTCTTTTACAAGAAGGGTTAACTTATATCGTCACCCTGTGGCAGATGGATCCTTATATCCAGACTTTAAGATGTTGAAGGTGTATTGCTGCTTATGACCAATCCCAGGGACAAAGGTCTACAAAATGGCTCAAACGAGTTTGCTGCAAGGGAAGCAGTTTTACTGTAGGGAGTGGGTTTTCCACAAGCTTCAGCACTGCCTTCAGGAGAAAGCTAACTGCAGCAACACTGTTGCCAACAAACCATCTCTTATAGCAAATTCTGGGAATAATGCTGGTGTTGTCTCGGGGAAAGGAACTGCCTGGGGTGTGTTGTTGGTAGGAGGGCCTGGTAGTGGGAAGACAGCCCTCAGTACTGAATTATTGTGGCCAAGCTCACCTGCAAGCCTACAAAGAGGCTTGCATCGCCAAGCTCTAGCTTTCCACTTCTGCAGGGCCCAAGACTCTGACACACTGTGTGTGGGAGGGTTTATTAGAGGTTTAGTTACCCAGATCTGCCGCAGTGGACTCATCCAGGGATATGAAGACAAACTAAGAGATCCTGCAGTTCAAAGTCTCTTGCAACCTGGGGAATGTGAGAGGAATCCTGCTGAAGCATTTAAAAGGTAAAAATAAAACCATGTTGTGTTTATATAGTGCCTTTCATCCAAAGAGCCTAAAGCACTTACAGACAGGAAAAATATGCTTTTTCTTGTAGCATCATGGCTTGTTGATCCCATGGATTGCTCCAATAGCTTCCAAAATTGTCATTGAAGAAAAAAAAATCTACCTTCCTGTTCCCATAGCTCACATAAATCTTCATTTCAAAATATAGTTATGGATATAAAAAATACCCAGAGCTATAATTAATATTTTTGAAGGGATAGGGCCAGGGCCTCAGATAATAACTATTAAAGCCCATGAGGGATGGGAGAGGGGGGCAGATTATCCCACATCTCCATACTTCAGAGGAATTGCAAGAACTCTGCAGTATCCGGTACTTGCTACTGTCAGACAGGATAGTGGACTAGGTAGACCTTAAGAATCCTGCATCAAACCCCTGGCCTGTGTCCCACAAGATCAAGTAGGAAAATGTTAAGTCAGAATGAATCTATCCCACTTACATATGCATGGATTGCACTAAATTCACATAACTACTTACGGAATTACCACTCTTTCACAGTATAAGGTGGTACAGAATCATAACTATTCTTTCAGTAGGTATTTAAAAAAACTAGAGAATCCATACTCTGTGTAGAAGTAACTTTTAAGATGTGGGGCATTAATATATATATATATTTTTTTTTTTTAGCAAAATCACAGAAACTGAATAACTGAGGGAAATCACTAGCTCAGCAGTGCAGTATTCATTTCTGCCGTCGGTGCTCCTTGCAATACAAAAATGTGTTCAACATACTGTTGAAAGCTTTTTATCTGCAGCAGGAACATTGATAATCTCAGTGTTTGTAAAGCAACTTACACAAAGATCTTTAGGAGTGTATATTCTTGGGCCTGGTCTACACTGGGGTGGGGGGAGGGATGGGATCGATCTAAGATACGTTGACTTCAGCTATGCTATTCTTGTAGCTGAAGTTGCGTATCTTAGATTGACTTAGAATTACTTACTTTGCGTCCTCGCGGCGGGGGATCGACGTCCGCGGCTCCCCCGTCGACTTTGCTTCCGCCTCTCGCCGAGCTGGAGTTCAGCAGTCGACGGGAGAGCGATCGGGGATCGATTTATTGCATCTGCACTACACGCGATAAATCGATCCCCGATAGATCGATCGCTACCCGCCGATCCGGCGGGTATTGTAGACGTACCCTTGATCATAGCACTAGACACTTTTGGGGGTGGGGGGTCTGGCTGCATAAGAGGTTAATTTCATCTAAACAATTAAAATGAAGGAAAACAACTGTAAAGACAGTGACTCAATACAGTATTTGTAGTGGAATACTGGCATTTTTACCACTAGGTCATTGGTATGAAACTTTCCCAAGTTAATAGTAGCTAAGTCATGGCTCTCAGGTGGCCTCTGTGAACTTTTTAGTGGTCTTTGAAGTCTAAGTGGATTAATGTCCACATCATGAAAATCACCATAAGAATTTTTCCTTTGTCTCACCAGACGGGTTAGCTAAACAGCCACTGAGACTGAAGAACATTACCTGATCAGATTGGCAAAGTGGAATGAGGGAAGCTTGCATTACAGTACCTGTCCTGTTTTTGCCCTGTGGATAAATAGGATTTTAAGTCTCCAGTGCTTCCAAACCAACATTTTGCACAAGCATTAAGTTGATCATGCCTTCTTCTACCCCCACCCCCCCTTTTAAAGTTTAAAATAGACCATGAAAATAGTGGACTTTTTTTTCCACTGTAAACAAAGTTAATGGCAAAATTTTCTGTATTCAGACCAGTTTAAGTACTTAATTTGCAAAGTTCTAAGCATATGCAGCTCCTAATCTCTCTTGCCTTTTTAACTTTGTTTTTCAGTACCTTTACAATCTCAAATTCTCACATCCACGCTTCAGCTTAGTACTCCCAGTGCTAGTAGTATAATTCCATTTCTCTGTTTGCAGTTACCAGAAGTGAAAGTGACCAATACCTATCTTTAAATCAGGCACCAGCACTAGCCCCTGATGGGCAGAGTCAGTGGGTTCCATGCAGAAGCAGGGTTCTGCCCGTGCAGAACCTGTTGCAAGTTCATAGCCTAGAATGGAAAATATTTTGTTTTATAAATCTAAACAAGCTTATATTGGTAACTCTACTTGCCTATTGACCTAGAAAATTTTTCTTCCCCAATATTTTAGGTTCCCTGTGAAGATTAACTTAGAAACAACTTACTGTTTGACAAAATTGAAAAATAAAATTTCATAGTGAATACCGTTTAATAAACATTTCATGTTGTCACGTCCTATGTGCTAAGCATGCGTGTTTTCAGCAGTCTTGGGATATGCTTTAATTTTTTATGCATCGTGAATAGTATAATTGTAACCCAGAAAAATGAGGCTTTTCAAACTTATTCATATTTTAAAATGTCTTTTCTTCAAAAAAGGTAAAATCAAGTAAACTAATTCATTCAGTTTAATATATTTACCTTCTTTCTCCCACCCATTTATAATCTTTGAATTGTGCATCCTGTTTTAGGAACAAATTCAAAGAGAAATGAGATCAAGAGTGTGGAAAACTTGAGCAGACCTCCTGATAAATGTCAGACACTGGATGTAATACTAAAAGAGGGAATTGCTGCTGGTAGTACTGCTTTTGGGCACTCCTCTTGATGAGCATATTTTCTGTCACAAAATAGTTTGTGAATGAACACAGTTGCAGCTGAAGTTCTTGCTTTAGATTCTTGTCTGCCTTACCTTCACTCATCGCTGTTTCCTTTAGATGTTCTAGATTCAAAAGACTCTGCAAGGATCAAAGCTTTAGATTTAATTTAGTTGCAGAAAATGTCAGATGGAACTGTGCTTTTACCTAAAAAACCAAATCTGTGATGCTATCTGTACTTGTTAGAAGTCTAAAGTTAAAATAAGAGAATACAACCATGGCCAGGAGTTTTTTGGAATGAGTACCTGAAGTTAGGTTCATATGTTATTTTTAGACACACCATTATGACTAAATCATAGAAGCTTGAAAATTGGACCGCTTTATGTAACTTAGTTCATGTCTACCTTGGAACACTGTTCTGGTTTAGTTCGTGTGTTATACTGTACTTATAAAGTGCTTTTAATATTGATGCAGCTATACTGGCAGACCTGCGCTTTGTACTGGTATAATAAAACTACTCCCAGGAGAGAAACATGCTGGCACAGCTGTGTCAGTCAGGGATGACACCTCTTCACATCCCTGACTGACCTAAGTATGCCAGCAGAAGCTTATATTGTAGACCTGGCCTCAATTTGGATTTGAGCCTAACTTTAAGCATCCACTGCTGAAAAACATGGGCAGTATTAATAAATTACCCTTAGGCTTCAAGGGTACATTATTGGCACAGTATTCATTTTTTTGAAAAATATATTGGTTATTTAAATGACTTGTAAAGTTCTAATTTGGTATGGAGGTTTTTCATATTAGGTTGATCCTGAATTTGTAAACTTTGAAATTATATAAACTTTCAAAACTATATAGATTGTTTATTTGTGTCTTCAAAGTTTAAATGTGAAATGACTGAAAATAGTCCCTGTTGGCCAAGGGAGTGAAGACTGAACATGGTCCTAAATCAGTATTCTCCGCTGTTAGACTTTCAGTCCTTCCTATTTGTATTGGATTCTCCCAGTCCTCTTTTTGTCTTTTTACTGTCTCCCTCCCAGGTCTGTGCTTTTTGCCTCCCTGTCCTCTCAGATCACACTTCTGTATATGGTGCTTCACTACTGAGCTTGCTGCAACACTGACAGTGAAGCAAATGCAATTGCCCCTTTTTGCTGCTGAGGGCTCAGGGTATAGACCCAGTAATGGAGGGAGGAAAGCAGGAAAGAAGAAGCAAGAGTCTGCCTCTCCTTTTTATCCTATTTCCTTATCCCTCACAGAACACCTCCAATCTCAGCAGAGTAACATGCCTATGCTCTTTCTGCACACACATCTTTTCCACTGGTGCCAGCAGGAGCATTATGACAGTGACAAGATTCTGCTCTGCTGATACCACTAAGTGTTTTATACAAAGGAACAACTCAGGTACAGATGTAATCTTCTGTGGGATTCCCTTGCTCCTGAAACAAGGTAAAACCCTTATTCTTTGTGGATTTAAAGGTGCAGAGCACAGTTTAAATGAAAAGAAAATAGAGTAAAGGTTGACGTAAAAGGGACCAGAAACTAATAAAATGAAAGGGAGGAGGGAAGGAGGGACACTAAAAATAAGAGTGCATAATATTATAGGGAATATAAAAAGGCCTGAGGGGTAAAAATTGAAGTCAGTGGGAACTTGAATCTTCTAGTCTATCTTAATGAAATATTTCCCCTCTAGGTCATATTAAAATTCGAATAGGTTTAGAAGACTTTTACTACACCTCTACCTTGATATAACGCTGTCCTCGGGAGCCAAAAAATCTTACCGTGTTATAGGTAAAACCACGTTATATCAAACTTGCTTTGCTCCACTGGAGTGCGCAGCCCCTCCCCCCCCCCCCCCCCCCCCCCCCCGAGCACTGCTTTACCACATTATATCCGAATTTGTGTTATATCGGGTCGCGTTATATCAGGGTAGAGGTGTACTTACTATATGGTGGCTGTGACAGGACAAGATTCAGTGGTCTCAGTGCTCATATGTCCACATTATGCAGCCTTCTACCTTAACTGGCATAAATTAGCTTATTTACTTGACCATCTCAGCCAGTGTTGGAAGAATAGTTGTTTCCCTAACCATTCAATATTGTCATTCTAGGTCAGGCAATGAGGTATATTGGCAAGGTGGGGTAGTGGGCAAGCTTGTACTTCTGGTGACTGCTGTACCTGCATTACAACTATAGGACCAGACTCCACTGCTGTTAATATGATACTTTTCCCAAGCACTAAGGTGCATTTTAAATATCTATCACCATGCTATGTGAATAGTAAACAATATTTTCACTTCTAATTTTCCTAAATTGAGTAGTTATTCATTGGATATTATAGTGCAGTGGTTAGCTGCAACAC